TGATCAGTCATCCAAGCCTTAAGAGGTACAGTCCATTCCATTTTCGTTCCCCTCCCAACTAAAATCACAGTACACAGGGCATAGATAACCCAGAAGTTTTAAGTTCATGCACCAGGCCTAGTATTTAGATGGCTGTTAAGTACACTGACTGCTACCTTTTCATTAGCAATTACATATATATATATTTATATCCAAAAATATATGGATACAAAGCACCTGGATTACCAGTGCTGAATTTTGCAGCACACCTCAGAAAGATCCAGGTATTTCTCCGTGTTTCAGTTTGCTGCTATCACAGCACAGCACTTACACATTTTTGAGTGGTAGAATTGGGTAGTATAGATAGAAAACTTCAAAAGTAACCACCAGGAAAGAGGTGAATCCAGACTTTTCTAGTCCCTTCAGATCAGTCAAATTGATCTATTACATCAGACTGTTTTTGACAAAGTTCAATCTTTTCACTTTCCTGAAGCAGAAAATAAGTTAAAACAAGATTTAATTTTTTTTTTTCCTGAAGAACTGGCAATTTCTGGAAAGTGATGCAGTCACAAACCTCAGTAGCCAAGTGATAAACAGGCTTCAGCACGTGTAGATTTATTAGCAATTCTTTCACTTTGAGTGTAGTAGATTTTATTATTGAAATATTAGAAATCTAGAATCTCCGTGGAGAAACCCGAAGCTGTTCAGGATGTGCCATGATCGCTGGAAAAGACGCAGGGCCACTAGGTGGCACAAAGACACCATCTAACAGCTATGAGCAAGCCGGGGGTGCCTACTACCCAGTCAACATCTTTATGCATTTATGCAAAGAAAATGAGTACAGATAAAGATTGCAGACACAGCTCTAGTCCAGTAACCCACACATCTCTTTTCAAATAAAAATAAGCTCAGATGTCAACATGCTCCTTTGGACTTAGAGGCTCAAAGAAAATCTCCCAGAAGAGCACTATCTGCTCCTGCAGACCCTGACTGGCTCACGGATAACTGACTACATTGCAGCTCATTTCTGCATTCACATGAATATGGCCTTTCCTGCTCAGCAGTATTAAAACTAAAAAGTCACGGATATTCTCATTTTTCCCACTTTCTTCCATTTGCCACCATGCCATTCTAGTTAGTTTGATTTCTGCACCATCACCTTGACATGGTAAAGGGGACACCACTGACTCTGCTGGTGGAGCAGCTCTGCTTGGATGATGTTGAGCTAGCAGCACACATAGGTGGGATAGGCAAATACTGAGATAAATTCCAAAACTCTGCCTGACCTCTAATGTAGATAAATCTAATACTGAGACAAAACAGTGGCAATACACTTATTTTTATCCTTTGATATATATCTTTATAATACATATTGACCCTTATTATCTATATTATGATCTTTGACTTTTAAAAAATTTCAAGGGTCAATTTCACCACAGCTGGATAAGTACTTACTTGATCACACTGCTGTTAGAAAAATTTTCCAGTCACAGGAGTGTCACCCCTCTGAAGACTGTCTAGTCCAACCCCTTGTCCAAAGCAGGGTCACCAACAGCAGGCAGTCCAGAACCATCCCCCAATGGGTTTTGAATACTTCTGTGGATGGAGACTCCACAGGCTCTCTGGGCAGTCTCTTCCACTGTTTGACCAGTCTCAGAGGAAAAAGAAAATCAAATTTCTTATGTTTAAATGGCATTCCCTGTACTTCAGTTTGTGTCCATTGTCTTGTACCTTCCCTGGATACAACCTAGAAGAGACTGTTCTCAATCTTTTTTCTCCCACCCTTTTTAAGCCCAGTCCCATCCACATTTATGTACACAGAGCTGTTCCTCCCCTCAAGCCTTCTCTTCTCAAGGCTGAACACCCCAGCTTGCTCAGCTCCTCCTCATGTCAGAGATGCTCCAAGCCCTTAATCACCTTTGGGGCTCTTTGCTGGACTTGCCAAGAATGTCCATGTCCTTGTTGCATTGGGAAGCTTACAGAATGCATCGTGTTTGGGGAGTTGGTTACCTTGGGCAAGCCATGCCAGCAGCCCATATGTAGGCATAGGCTACCACTGTGCAGGGAATCTACTGGAGTGCCCTGTACTGGTTCCTGCTGCCTGCTGGTGGGTGTTGTGACAGAGATGACATTGCAGCCTTACAGAAGATATATGGGTTCTTTGCCTTTGTGGTCAAAACATGGCATTACTTCACCAGCCACTGATAATACACCAGCGTTTCACCATGGCTGATCAGTGCTTGCACAGCATCAAGGTTTTCTCTCTCCCCTCACTTATATTGAAGGATGAATAGAAAGACTTTAGGTCTAAGAATTAACACTGCTGCAGCTATTATGAGCTTTGTGTGGCTCATGAAAGGTCAGAGGATGAAATGAAACTGGAATGTCTGTAGTTATAAGACAAGGGTACCAAACTTGCACACCACTGGTTTGTTACACTGTTAGCAAAAAAAAAGAGGAAGGATAAAGTTCTGTTCCAAAGAATGATTTTTAAAAGAAACCCCAAAAGTCTGCAGTTATATGGTTTTATTTAAGAACAACAGTATTTGCATAGGTCAGGCATCAATATTTTAAAGTGTAAGAATACCTAATCTTAACCCTTTTTTTATTTAGCATCATACAGGAATGTGTTTCTTAGACTGAGGGTGACAAAAAAAAATTAGCAAACTGGGGTTTCAAATTGAACACTAGAATTGCTTACTTAACTTTGGTTAACTATCTCAATTTTAGGGACATAATGTAAGACAAAAAGTATTCCTTATTTGTAAGAATTTCTTAAAAACATATTATGTTTAATTGAGCAATTTATGTTTTAATACATTGAAAAAAACCCTGTCCTTTTATTATCTCGATTCCCCTGCTTTTTTTTCTGGTAGAAAAACAGCCCCAGTGATTATTGCTTCTCCTTTATTATTTTTCTAAAGCTATTTCCCCCCTCCATCCCCAGCTGCAGATAACAAAAGACAGACAACTTCAGTATGCAGAGTTTTCCTGTAATTGCACATCTGCCACACTCTCCTTTGACCTCACCCCAGCTGAGCACTGGGTCATGAGGCTCCCACATTCTTGTGATCTTCCTGAAGGTGAGGACAGCACAGAAGCTTCTTGGAGCAGAGTCAGGAGTCACATTAATGTCCTGACTCACATAAGGCTCATCTCATCCATGACATGTATGGCAGTCCACAGACTTGAACACCTGTGCTCGATGAGCTGCTAATTCCTCATAATTGATATCTATGTAGGAATTACTATTAATTGAAGTGTTATAATTTTAACTGTAATGTCAAAATACACATATTTTCTGGTAAAATGAAATCCTGTGTTTTCAATGAAATGGAATACTCGCTTTTTTAAAAAACACCCAACAGATTCCTGTTTAAAAGGGTTTATACACAAAATAAGATATTCTAAAGTTGTCATTGAAGACATCGAGAGCAGAACATCAATTTTCTCCTTCTTACTGAACTGCTTTACCCTGAATAATTAATGAAAATTAGCATCAGTGGAAACTACTGACTTAATTACAAACAGCATTACCACATAAGTAAAATTTAGAGAGGGCAACCTCCCTATTCCTGTAACTGGCCCAGAAAGTAAAATATAAGATATGACCCACTATAAATCCACAGTTCTTTCCATGGCTCAGAAACCTAATGTGATGCAAGTATTTTCAGGCACTTCTGAATCACTCTTCTAAGTTGTTCTTAATTAGTGAAAATTCATGTCTAATACATGAGACGATACTTCCAGTTAGCACAATATTCTTCATCGTTTCTAAGTGTATCAACATTACTGCAAAACAGACAAAATCTAAAAGCCAAAAAATTCTTTTTTTCCCATGTTATTTAATATGTTGTATACACTTTTAATATTAGCTGGTAATCACATTTTTTATTCAATGCCAGGCAAGCAGAACAACCCATTGGCCAATGCAAGGATGTACAACAATGTGCTCCCACTCCTAGTCCTCTGTGTAATTCCTATGAACACACATCAACCTGATGGAGTGTAATTATATAGAGAACTGTGTGTTCTGAATAGAAGAATGATCTGATATACAATCTATCTGCATAGGTGTATGTCAAGAGCATCTCATAAGATTGTGACTACTAATCTCACTTTACTTCAAAGCCTAAATGCTCCTCTACTAAATACACCACATATTTTAAAGATTAATTCTTGCTGCATTTACCTAATACATTTGTCACAACATAAAAAGTCCTGTGTCACCTGTCCAACATTTGAGCTTAACTGTGTGAATGATACCAAGTGTTGCTCTGAACTATGACAACCAATATTTGAAAAATATCTCCAGATACAATTTAAAAGTTTGAATATAAAATACTTTACCATTTATTTTTAAAGTACTTCAATAAATCTTTACAAATGTAATTTTTCTGTTCATTTTTTATTTAATATTGGGATATTTAAAATGCAATTTCACACCAAGATTAAATACAAAGAGACAAGTCAGTAACAAAAACAGTAATAAAGAAAAACTGATATTTTTTTTATTAGGAAAAGGTACAGCAAACAAAATGCATTCATAAAAAAGATAATGAATACTTTTAAATACCATGAAAAATGACCTGTAAACAGAAAACACTTGTTAAAAACCCAAACACAGGAAATCATAATGAGTATAAAACATACACTGGCTCAGAATTTGTGAGACACTTGTGGCTCACATTAAGATGAAAAAACTTCACTAATCATATGAGATAAGCAAACAAATGAAATTAAATAAAATGAAAACAAGAGATTGTCAAGTCAAGTCCTTGTTTCCCTCGTATAATTATTATGCCTCAAAAATAGTAACAAAACTTAGCCAGGATTAATAAACCATTTACATGAGACAGTTGAGAAAGCAGAATTTTGCAAAGTTGATTACTTCACCCATTCTCAGAGGTTTCAAGGGTAATTGCTGATTTGAAGAAAATAGGTAGAATACAAGACAGCCTTCATAACTTAAAAAAAAAAGTCCTTGCAACAAGGTAATGCTTCAGTTGCTCAAGTACTGCTTATTCCTTGAAGCTCACATTTCTGAAAAAAATAAAAATGTCAAAATCAAGTTAACTTTTTTATTTTACTAATTAACATTAGGATAAAAAGTAATAATTGTCCTTAGCCTTCTCACATCCTCTTCCATTATTCCTGAATATCAACTATTAGCATATTATTTAAAACTCTACATTCAGTTCATTGACTCACTGATCAAATGCTTTACAAAGTATAACTGAGACAAGGAGGAAGTGGAAAATTTCTTGAAAAGATGAAATCAGATTAGAGAAAGAGACAATTTTAACACTACAGAACAGTGATTACAGGTAACACCTGACTGTGGTAAGCTCCCAAGAAGAAAAAAATAAGTAGGATGAAAGATAGTGACAGTACTGATCATTCTATTGTAATAACCCATTGGTAGGTCGAACAGGCAAGATACGTGTAACAACTGCATGTGATTCAGTTGTTAAAATTTACTTTCTTTAAAAATACATACTTCATGAGAATGGGATAGTTTCTGATAAGATATGGTACAGAGCTGTCATGGTTAAAACTAAGCACGCAAATAGTAGGATAAAAATAGTACACTAGATGGTATTCTTTAAGTACAGCAATTGGAATTTTTATTGTCCTTGGGACTCACTGTAAAACAAAGACTAAAGACAATTCTCTGCTGATCATACTCATTCTCAGAAGTCTATTATCTATCATTATCTCAGTCAAAAGGTTGATTTGCAACATCACAGTGTGGCCTACTGGCTCTGCAGTAAAGCAAAAGTTGTAACTCTGTTTCATCCCCACCATCAATATCTCATTTGCTACAGTTTCCCTTTTTTTTGCTTTGTCCAAAGACTCAGGGAAGAGAAATATTGCTGACAATGTGGTTCATGCCATGCTGACTTCAGTTCTCAAGAAATCTGTGTTTTTGTTAAGAAACGTAGCTTAAGAACAAGCCATATCTATTTACCAACAAAAAAACTCTTTAAAATCTGATAATTAGGTTCATGAGTTGTTACAGCACATTTATTTCCTACAACAATCACAGGTTCTCTCTCCCTGTCCTTCCACTCTTCACTGCAAATGGAATTCCTTGTACTTTAATTTATGTCCATTGTCTTGTACCTTCCCTGGATACAATCAAGGAGTCCTGTGAGGAGAGGCTGAGGGAGCTGGAGTTGTTCAGCCTGGAGAAGAGGAGGCTCAGGGGAGACCTTATCACCCTCTACAACTCCCTGACAGGAGGTTGGAGTCAGGTGGGGGTTGGTCTCTTCTCCCAGGCAACCAGCAGCAGGACAAGAGGGCACAGACTCAAGCTCTGCCAGGGGAGGGTTAGGTTGGATATTAGGAGGAGATTTTTTACAAAGAGAGTGATCAGGCATTGGAATGTGCTGCCCAGGGAGGTGGTGGATTCACCATCCCTGGAGGTTTTCAAGACAAGACTGGATGTGGCACTTAGTGCCATGGTCTAGTGACCACGGTAGGGTTGGACTCAATGATCTTGGAGGTCTTTTCCAACTCGATTGATTCTATGATTCTAATTTATTATGCAAGATAGAACAGGCAGGATATAAAGTCAATAATCAGGCCTGTAACACATAACTGACATCATCTGAAACAACAATGATCTCTGAAAGAACAAAAACGTAAGTGGAAATGAACAGGTGAGAGGCTGATTTTGATTTTTTTTTTAGGGACTCTAGTGACCACAATCTTAGACATTCATAGATTCCAAGCACTAACAATGAAAAATATATTAATTATTTTTATACACTTGTCTTGGAGACAGCGTCATCTAACCCGTAGGGCTCAACTGAATTTTGGTTGGACTTTTCTGTGGACATTCTTTCCTTCTTTGCTGTACTTGAGAGAATTTCACAACATTCCTCTTAATATTCGTTGTTTGGAGATAACTATCAACAATAATAAACTGGCAATATATATTTCGATATAATTAATGGCAGTAACAAGCAGGCAATATATATTTGGAAGCTGTCAGCTGGTGAAAGACCATTTACAAAACCAAGAATGAGAATCCATTATAGTCCTTGGAGAGCACTTTGCATCTATTGCTTCCAATCAATATTTTATAGTAGAAGAGACAGCAAAAGACAAACTTGGAAATGCCTGAAGCATGTAACAATTCTGTATAATCAAAAAAGTACTATTTAGTAACAATTTAAACCTAACTGTTAAACAGAAACAATCTGCTAAAATCAAATCACTTACTTTTCAGCTGCTGCTTGATCAGTTGTCCTACGTTCTGGAGAACGCGAGGGAGACCTTAAGGTCGAACTGAGAGTAGGTGAAGCACGTAAGGATGATGTAGAGAGACCATGTCGGCGCATTTCCTGAATTGCACGTTCTCTGCCAACACACAGCAAGTTCAGTTACACCACACTCCAGTACTGCAGGATGTTAAAGGAAGAAAACAGAACTTTCCCCCTCCCCCCATAATTTTACTCGGTGGTTTTCCACCATACTTTGCAAAACAACTCATTTTCTTGCAACTTTCTTCTTGTTTTCATGAGAAATTATATTTTTAGAGGCAGTGGTAAACTCAAAAAATGTACAAGGAAATTCAGAAACTGTATAAGGACTTTTTCTTTTTTAATTAAGCAGTTTTTCAGATGAGAATATTAGATTTTGCATGACAATAGGAACAGATTTTCCATAAAGCTTCCTCACTAGTGAGAAAGAAGAAATAAGCAGTCACCTCAGTGAAAAAACAGCATCTTACCGTTCAAATCGCTCAGTTGTCAGTTGTCTCTTCAAAACATCAGAGTCTGTCTGCAGCTGTGCAACTTTACTTCGAAGTATGGAAACCTCTCTAGTATGGCTGCTTCTAAAAAAACAAATCATGAGAAGCAACAGTTTTCTTTGAACACTGTGAGCTAGGAGCTTAGACAAATCAGAGCAAGATAAAACAAAACCAGACACTGATTATGATTGTTTCACCCAGACCAAAAACAAATTAGAAGCATCAAGAACCAAGTGAATGCCACAGAATGTTTCTGGGAGAACCTAAGGTGAGAATGAAGTGAGAAGCTGGTAAGCCTCTCACTAAATCCTGACTATATCATGTTCTTTTTCAGACAAAGGGAAACACAAACATGTTTTATAAAAACAGACAAAATCAAAACATTAATTTTTTGATTTACTACCCTCTATTGCAATGTGAGATGGCTTTTATGTGCACACTTGAAAGCAAAAAAGAAAAAAAAGCAGTAAATATCCACAAAAAATACAAACATAATAGATAGGGCTTCAGTAAAAATTACATCGAGTAGGCTGGAACTAACTGACTAGCAATGAACACAACTGAATCAAATCTCAGTGAAAACTGTATTAATGCAAATACCAGACCAGCAAAACCCAGAGCCTGAAAGCTTGTCAACCACACCCTTGGGGTTTGGGCTGTGTCAACTGCGAGAACTGAAATGAAAAGCAGCCTTGAAAATCTTAAGCAATATAATTAAATATATTTAGCAAATCATCAGTTTGGCCAACTCAATGCAAAATACCATTAACTACATTATAAAGGAGGAAAAGAAATTGGTGAGTGCAAAATAAGTTGTCCAGGCAAGAATCTAGACAGCTGTGTTACTCCATACAGTCTTTAGGTTGGATATTAGGAAGAGATTTGTTACAGAGAGAGTGATCAGACATTGGAATGTGCTGCCCAGGGAGGTGGTGGATTCACCATCCCTGGAGGGTTTCAAGCTGAGACTGGATGTGGCACTTAGTGCCATGGTCTAGTAACCACGGTAGGGCTGACTTGATGATCTTTGAGGCCTTTTCCAACCTGGTTGATTCTATGATTCAAAGCCAGTATGAGGTGGAGTGCTCATAAGTCACTTCTGGAGAAGCAAAGATGTATTAGTTTATTGCTAAAGCACTGGACTTGAAGTCTGAAAAAGGAGTTCCACTCCTAGCTCAGTCACAGACTTCCTATCTGGCACTCGCTGGTCTCTGACTCCAGGAAGATGCAAACTACTCAAGAGATTTGATCCAAAGAGAACCGCAGAATATTTTTTTCCTGTGTTCCCTATTCATCAGTAAAACTCCTAGATTGGTATCTTGATCCAGTAGGTTGAGAACAGATGCAGAGATCAAGAGATCTTGATGATACTTATTCTATGTCCTTCAGAGACAGGCATATGCTTTCAGGATGGAGGTAAGAATTCAGGACCCAACATCATTATTGTAAAATAAGGAAAGAAAGCAAACAGTTCGTGAGTTCTAAGGATATTCCATGTCAATGACATTTAAAAAAAGTTAAGAGCATGAAATACATCACTCAAAACTTTAGCTGTATTTTAATTTGAAACCCCTATGCGCAGTAATCAGCATATAATAAGATTACACCATGATACACAATTGTCACAGGACATCTGGCTCAATCATAGGAGATACAGATAGCTCTCAACAAGGAGTTTTATGATTCACTATCATCTGCTTATTTAATACTTAATCTTTCTAGAGCCTCAAGATTGCATTTACTGTACTGTCACCCAAACAGCACTCCAAGTAATAAAATTACTCACTTTTTACAGGGCTCAAAATTATAGCACTGGAGAATTTCACAAGTCAAACTTAGTTCTGAGAATCCTTCTAAAGTCAAAGGTTGTATCAGTGCAATTTTATAAACAAAGCAGAAGCACAGGCACAATAAGGACAAAACTTTAAACAATGTTCAAAAATATTGGCACATGATTTTTGTCAGTTAGAAATGAAACTCTGCCAAGCCAAATGATTTTTTTTGTGTTTTGCAAGACACAAACGTATTTGTCACATACTTCAGTCAGAGTTGTGAGCATTTAAAGTTACTGGTTTTAGACTGCAACTATCACAAATGAAATAATAGAAAATAAGGTATATACAACTAATTCTCACACCTGAACATTTGCCTAGAAACATGCTGAACCTTTGAGATAAACAGAGGAAAGCAATTCAATAGCCCCTCCAAAAGAACATTTTCCTTCTTCCTGCAACATCCCATCCTTTCAACAACGCAAGTACTGACATTTTACAACAAACAAGAAAGGAACCCTACAATGTGTGCAGAAGAAAAACAGTGAAAAAATTACTATGGAGTTGGTTAAACAGCGTTTTATAATGTTTGCACACAAAGAAGCTAAATTAAAATGAAAACATCTTCTTTTACATTTGTTTTCGGGTTTTTGTTGCCTTGTGTTTTTTCTAACTGTCACATTTAAATTCATAGTCAGGACACTGCATTAGCTTATGTTGTCTGTATGCAACTAACATTTTTTCCCCAAACAAACAAAAATAATTAATTCTAAAACATGAAGCAATTAGTCACACTGAGGTGGTTAATTACATCATCCACAGATTCATTGGGATCACTGCCCCTTGAGGTAGACCATCATCAGCCTCAACTTGTAGCCTCTACATAAATCAACCAAAATAATTTTTCTTGCACATCTGTGTCACCAAGTTACAGACAGCTTGTATCTGCTTAAGAATGCTATATTCCATATCTCATAAGAAGCAGTATCTGTCCTATTACCTTTCCATATGTTTACTAAGTGAGTTTATCTGTTTTCCTTTGTCTGAAATTCTACTTTGACTTTACTCTTCACCACCATCTACATTTCAGCTGCTACTCCTCCTTGCTATTAAATGCAGAGCTACCACTACAGTCACTGGCTAATGTATCCCCAGGAGCATTATCATGTCATGGTACTTAGCCGTTTCAGGTTAACAGCTGGACTTGATGATCTTAAGGGTCTCTTCCAACCTAAATGATTCTAAAATGACACATGCCATGGAAACTTCAACTTCCCTGCTCCATAACATGTAGAAAATATTTTAAATCCCCCACTTCTCTCATACATGAATTTCACATACACAAAATATCCTCCCCTTAACTTCATTGATCCAAATAGATTAGTCTTCCTTCTACAAGTGTGTTTAAAAGTTATTTCTTCTTTAGGTAGATGCACAGCATAAGAAGCTGCAGATAGTGATAACGGGAAGTGCTGGCCACATGTAGTGTAGGTGCCAAGTTCAATTCCAGTTATATTTCACAGAATGGGTAAGGTTGGAAGGGACCATAGTGGGTCATCTGGTCCAACCTCCCTGCTTTAGCAGGGCCACTCTAGAGCACAAAGAAACAGGAAGGGATACAGGACTTTTTCCTTAACAGTATATACCAACAGCAGCAAAAGAACTTTTGCTTTTTTAAAGCACTACAACTTCACTATTTATGATATAAGTGATTCTTATTTTAATCAAAGGACAACAGGTATCTTCAGCAGATAAGCAACTCACCTTTACCATGGATCTCATACACTTGGGGGTATTTTTTGTGAGCAGCACACATATGTTAAAATTTTATTTAGAGCATGTTTCCTTTGGAACTCCTGTTTAAGTTTACTGCTTGCACTAAACTGATGTCCATCAAAATGCTGATTAATGAGAGCAATATGAAAGATCTGTAAAGAAACTTTCAGTATATGATACCATAAAAGGTCAAAAGACATTACTGCAAGAATCTGCTCGATCATACTGAACACCCAGACTTTGTGAAGAAATCTTATCACATAGAAAAAGGGTTTTGTAAGCCACATAACATACATACACTTGTTAAAACTTACAGTTTGCTCTCAGCAAGTGTTAGCTTGTCCCTCAGTAACTGGATTTCGGTATCTTTCTCTTGGGATGTTAAATGGTTCTGAAATTCTTTGTCTCTACTAGTAGCCAGCAACATTTCAAGGTTCTGAACTGTCTGTCTCTCACTGGATAACTGCTTTTTCAGCAACTCCACTTCTGATTTTATATCTTCTAATTCACCTAGAACCTAAGGCACAAATTTTATATATTATTAATACACTTGTTTACAAACACACAGAACTCTGTTTTATGAAGAGCTGTTATAAAAACTGATATGATTGGAAGTTTCATAAAAATGAATAGGAAACTGAGCTCCCAAAACAAATTAAATCCCACAATAATTTTAAACTGTACTGAGTTCTAAACTATCCAAGCTGTACATCTGTCAAATGTTTTACTGGGAGCTGGATTTCTGAGTGCTGGAAATGTTTGGGTAAGTACCTGGAACACTAAGTGGCTTTTAACAGCAGTAGGCTTTTGCACAAAGACAAAAGTAGCATTTACTATATTTCATTCTATGCAGCTAGGTCAGCTCACAATTAGCTTCTTGGCTTTTGCTGAAAATGTAGGAATACTTGTTTCTCTCATCAGTTCTATGAATAAAAACAAATTCTACTGTTCTTAAGGTCTTGAATATTAAAGTACCAGAAAGCCTGACCAAGTCACTAGACACAATCAGCTGTAAAGAAAAAGGTTCCAAAAATATAAATATCTAGAACTGTTTAAACTATTTCAAATTAATTAATGAACTTCAGCTGCATCTAAATTCCAATTTAATTGAAAAAAGCCATTAGGGAAAGGTCTTTAAATAAGAAGTGCACTATTTGCTTTTTATAAGTTGAAAATTTGAGTAAATTAAAAAAACATAAAATACATATAATGTGTCTGTGGTATAGGAAAAACTACAGCTGCAACATTCTGCAGTGATAATGAATGAAAGAAACTCCTTTTTGTACGAAACCCACAAATACAGATCTGCAAATTACCACACCTTCCTCTCACAAGTAATTCTTTTCTCCAAAACTCATTAAAAGCAAACAAGATATTTTACTACAGCAAACGAATTTGCCTTTCCTGCTTACCCTTTCATAATCCATGCTTTTGGATGTCAGCTGTCGAGATAAAAGTTCCTTGTCAGACTCAAGTTTCACACAGAGCTCCCTGAAAGAAGTCAGGTCTGCCAGCACAGAAGCTTTATCCTGATTTTCACGTTTAAGATCCTCTTCCAATTTGGACATATTTTTCGTAATGGAGGAGATCTGAGATTCATATACTTGATGTGCAACGATGTGCTAAACAAAGACAAATATGGATACACCTTCAATGTCCAATCTAACAGTTTTGTGTTGGTTAACAGGGGTTTTCTTAATACTTTATTTTCCCTTCAAAATTAACTTTCTCTATAAAACCAGCTTTATATTACATTCTTTCCCTCTCCCTAAATCACACCTAAGAACAACTAACAAACCACCTCTGCAATTTTTAATCGCTATCTTGAAGAATTATACAAGTACTATAAAAGACTGGAATGAGGCTGTATTCCAGCTTCAGAGGATTAAAAGCTTAAAACCCCCAAAATACAACCTATTTTTCACTCAGCTTACAATACAGAGTCCCTAACTCTTTCTGGCTAATTAATAGCATGAGGCAAAATATGGTCAATCCACAACTTCATTGATCTCCATAGAGTTATTGCTTCTAAAACATGAACCTCATTATGTCCTGTGATATTGGTGCAGGTTTCAGTATTATAGAATCCTGATTCTGGATTTGGACTACATCTACCAGATTTTTACCTTGACTCCAGGCACCAATGCTTCAAATACTTCATGCAAAGTTTCAAAGAAATGTAAAAACTAAGTTTACGAAATACTCATAAAGCTATATGCAAACATTTTGAAGCAACTAAACAAAAGGTTCTTACAAAGACAATAACATAACAGCAATGATTACCCAATAGAAGAGATTTAAAACTATTAAAATAGACACTGTGAATCTAATTTTGGAAAAGCAGGGGAGAAGGAAAGCATGTCTCGCCACAATCAGTTACTGCTTCATAAACTCAGTATCCATGTTTGAAACATTCACACATAGGAATTATTTTTCATTAACACATCGACTTGATTAAAAAACACTTGAATGTGTCCCACTTTGCTTGACAGAACTTCATTGCACAAGTTATTACCTCCTGAATCTCTTTCTCCAGAAGTTCTACTCTCTCCCGAAGATGTCTCCGATCTGTGTCTACTGAAAGGAGTTCGAGTCGTATGGAGCTGCTTTCTCCTTCAGCCTGGTGAGCCTTCATTTCCCAGTCTTCAGCTTGTGTATGGAGCATTTGGAACTTCTCTAACAATTCTTGGTTTTCTTGTTCCTAATGAAACAGGAAATCACTTTGCAATGATCAACATGCCTTCAAGCTGCTTGATCTTATTTCATGCCTACTCCCTAGAATATCCTTTTCTTTTTTTTTCTTCCCAGACGAAAGTAGATTTTTCTTCATTTTCTTAATCCCACTATCTGGCAGCTATGAAAGGGCATCATCCATTTTCCAAGTTCAAATAGCAAATAAATACAGTGATGGCATACAGTTTTATTAAAATGGAAGTACTTAACATTTAGAAGTAGTTAATGAGTTTCAAGGCTCCCAGGAGAGGGGTTATTTTGCATCCCTCTGCATTGTCAGGGGTCACGTTACTGAGATATACCGAGTGCTGCCCTTTCCAAGAAATTCCAGCAGGAGTCCATTTTCAGCTCTTTTACTTACTGTGATCTTGCAAATATTTGAATTACAGCAGTGCCTGAAACACTGCTAATCTATTTGAGCATATACACCTAAGCAGTCTGCCATAAAAGCACAAAACCACAGGCTTTAGTTCTTACCAGTTATGCAGTGATAAAACAAATGTTGCTTGTGAATTTTAATTTAGCCAAACTGCAAGTGTGTATTATAAGACAGTGATTAATTTTTCTCATTTACCTCCATTCCCTTCTTCCCTGCTTATGTAATGTGCAGTGGGGTATGCATGTTAGCCTGTTAGTATGTGAGTGGGATACTTATGCTAGTGTGAATCAGATTTATCTAATGAGAAAGGCTACTGGTTTTGAAATTCCTTGTGTTTCCTGCAGCACTTGGAAGGTGCACACAGAATGAGGTGGAGCATTAGGAAATGGAAACTCATGATTAGGTAAGTGAGCACTGTGCAGAAAAGTAAATCCTTGTCTCCACAGGCATTATCCAGATGTAATACTAGACAGATTCCTGAAATCAACCTTTCATAATTGGTTGCTGGGTGTATATTCTACAGCTTCCTGGTACACAACTTGAGGAACTGGATTCTCATTTGCCAAAGATGTGGCCGTATTTCTGGCTGGCATACTTTGGACATATGATTTATTATAAAATTCTTAAAAACTAAGCTTCAAGTGTTTTAAATTGATAGTTCCAAGCCAACATACTAATAAACTTAATTTTTTCCCTATGCTTCAGTTTCTGCTTGTAAAAAGTGGTTGAATTTACATGCACTCATCCAAACACGCCAGTTGCACTCAGATCAAAATTCAATCTTTCCAATTCAAAGTCACATAATAAATTTTCCAACTCACGCTGTCTTTACATAATTCTATTTGTTTTAAATGATTATAAGTTCTAATTCACCTACATCACACTTTTGAATCCAAGTATCAGGCTAAAATATATTTAACAAGGGCACTGTTTTGTCAATACAGCAAAAACTCTGAACTCCAAATTCATTGAGAAAATAACTCAATGTTATATTCTTACACTTTTGTGAAGAACTACAGATGAAAATATTTTCTTTTCAAAAAGTGTAAAATATTTTAAACCATCATATAAGCTGCTTGTTGCCTATAATCATTCAACAGTAATAGATACTGTACTAGTTGCCCTGTCAAAACTCAAAAAGCAAAACATCATCCAAGCATGACATATTTGTCATTCTCCAGAGTTACAGCCAACTGACACACAACCAATGAAATCATGATGCTCCAGAATCCCCACTAGTAGCCTCAAACATTGCAGAGGGAAAAAGGAAAACAAAATAAAAGGAAATGGGACAGGTAGGGAGAACATGAGCCAAACCATACAAATGTTAATTTGTTTATTGTGTCCTAATGAGAATGTGTTGTACTCTAAAACCAACAGATTTTTTGAAAACAGTAAGGATTGCCTACAGATTATATTTTTACCTTTGAAGCCATCAAGGACTCAAATCTGGAAACTTCAGTTATATAATTATGAACTCTGGTTTTCATTTCTTCTTTTTCACGTAATGCATCTTCAAGCTCAGTAGTGATGGCCTAAAGTGATCACAAAAAGGCAAAACAATGCATTACAGTAAATTAATCACTATATACTACTCCATCAGCTTAAATCAAAGTAATTAAACATGCCCTAGATTTTTTCTATTTTACTTACAAAGCCCTTTGGAATTTGTAGGGTTCAGAAATATCCCCTATTACCTTAGATACACCAAAGAGTTTCCAAGCAAGAATAATCACAGAAAACAATGATTATCACACCAGTTCCTAAAATATGCAGCTTCCCTGGTGACACATCCTCCCAGTCTTTGGAAAATTCAACATACTGGTGTTTTGTAGTTGGAATTTTTATAGCCTTAGGATTCACTACCCTTGAGCAAAGGAAAATGTTATGGCACTAGGAAGTCAACTTTAGAACAAAAGAACATTTATTTTAAAGCAGAATTGCAAGATAAAATAACTAAATGCATTATTAAGATCATATTTAGACATCAAAATGGAATTTGTTTGTGGAATTGGAACTGCTAACTCTGGATCTCTCAGGTTTAACTCTCACCTGCCTCTGAGTCCTGTAGTCCAGAGAGCCAAAAAGGCAAGTATCTTCTTCTATCCCCATGATCAAGTGTGGGGGGAATAAAGGAAACTGCCTTATTGCTTCCCCTTCTTTTGGTGGTATATTAGTATTAATTAACAGCAACCTTTTTAATGTGTGCCTTATTTAGCATATGCTGAAATCAGTCTGCTTGTCCCTGTGGTAGCCTTCCCAAGCACAGTGGGAAAGCTTTAATTGTCATCACATTATGATATTTAATATTTCACATTTAATTAGACACCTGTGATGGCATCTCTCATTTGAATAATACACCCACATATTTATGTACTGTACTATAGGCTTTGCAAGAACTGTTCAGGGTACTACATCACTTACTTAAAACATGTTGCTATATTGTACTTTCTAACATCAGATGGGTTGACCAAGGAGAACTGAATAGGTTTAGGCAACAAGGCTCTGATTATTTTTAGTGACAGCATTTACAGTGAATTGAAACAAACATTTGTATCTCAGCATCAAAATTGCAAAAGGCATTTGACTCTCATGAGGAGGTGCAATAGTTGCATTTGCTATACAAATTGAATGCAATGAGTTGCAACAAAGTTCTGGGCTAGCTCCTTAAATCACACTCATATATTTTCTATGTAGTCTTTTTAACACTTAGCCCAAAAAACCAAATGTCACCCCATAAAACACTGGGTATTTTTGCTTTATATTGTTCATACACACATTCTATCACACAGGGACATCCATGTCATGCACTTGGAGCTGGAAGGTTTTTGGTGACCCGTAATCAGTTGGTACACAAAACCAATTCATTATTCCTCAAACTATGAGAGGGATTAACAAGACTGAAAGCACTTCAGGCTATCCAAGCCATGGATCCCAGACCCCAAGAATTCCCAGGCAGAAGAGATGGACCAATGATGATTGCAAAGAGTACAGAAGGCTATGTACTGTATAAATCACTGAAGTTTTTGAAAGAATAGACTTACATACCAGTGGTTGGTTTAATTACAGACCCCTGGAGATCATCTCAAGATGAAGATGGCACAAGAGTAATAATAATAAAGACAAACAAACAGTCTAATCCACTGAACCTCTCAACTATTTCTGACTTGCAGAATTTTTATTTAACCTTCATCAACTTCAGGTAGCTCATCTTTCAATGAAATATTCAATGATACCCTATGTAAATAGGTAATTCCTCAAGACATTAAAGACTTATTTCAACTCTGATTCTGTAACTGAGGTAAGTTTAAGTCATGCCTGTACAGTATGTACTTTACAAGGAAACTTATTTAGTCATCAGCAGCTGAGAGGGACTTGTATACCTCTCCACTGGAAATCTAACTGTGAGTATACATGAACCAAACTCAGTATCCACCAGGCAATCACAACCCACTTTCCACCTGCTTTCTGGCCTGAAGCTACTGACTGGCTGTTAGCAAGGGGGTACATTATGAATCTAATCTACTAGAGAAGTAAGGAAAGATAAAATAATAAAAAACTAATACAAAGAAAAATAAAGAACTCTGCAAGCAGTCAAATAAAGTACCTGAACAGAATCTGCAATATACAGCTGAAACTGTATATACACACACACACACAGGATAGAACCTCACCACAACACCTACCTTACCAATGCAAAGACAATCCAATAAGAACATTTCCCCAGG